CCCCAAAACCCCAAAACCCCAAAACCCCAACAGTGGATTTTTAAACTAATTTTGAATTTGTAGAATTATTAGATAAGTATTTGAAATTATAAAATTGTAATTAATAATGGAGAAAAAAGGCAAGATTGATTTCTATGGTTTGCTGGAACTTGAGAAATCAGCTACCACCGAGTAAATAAAATCTTCTTATAAAAAACTAGCACTGGTAAACTTACTATCTCTACTTGAATATATTTAATAATCATTTCGCATAGAGATGGCATCCTGATAAAAATAATAATTCTGAGGAATCTAATGAGAAGTTCAAATTAATATCAGAGGCATATTCGGGTATGTATATTTGCGTATTTATTGAGATGTTCAGTGTTGAGTAATCCATAGAGAAGAAAACATTATGATAGATTTGGCACAGTTGAAGAGAGCACAGCTGATGATGATGATTTCTTCCAGCATTTCTCAATGTTTATGGGAGGAGGAAAGTCCTCTGGGGATGATTTTTTTGACCATTTTGATGAGTTCACTACATTTTTGGAGTCTGATACTAAATTCATGAGGAAGATGTTTAGAGATGTGGGCAAGGATGTAAGAGTAAAGGGCAAGCGCAGAAAGTAAGGCGGAGGTGGTGGAAGTAGACTAAAGGACGACATGGGAATGGGATTTGGAATGAGCATGGGTATGGGTATGGGAATGCCTGATGATATTGATGATATGCTTTCGTTCTTTATGATGCCTGGCCTGATGGGCATGCCAATGGGAGGAATGGGCAAAAAGAACAATAAAAAGAAGAAGGCTAAAAAAGAAGAGGAAGATGATGGCTGGAATACTGAAGAAGAGGAAATAGACGATGAAGATGGAGTAATTAAAGAGAAAAAAGATGGAGATAAAGAAGATGAAGGCTGGGAAACTGTGTCTGAGGATGATGAGAAATGATCAAATTGTGAACTAATGCATGGAATTATAGTGTTTAAGTAAGGTTAACTGAATCGATTTAATAATCTTTATTAAATACCAAAGACTATTACTTTACCTCACCATATTGATTTATCAAGCTACATTTTCAATTTAACTTATTCTCTAGCTATAAAATTCTATGGGGTTTTGGGGTTTTGGGGTTTTGGGG